AGGTCTCGCTGCCCAGGCGGGTCTCGAACCCACAGGCTCAGGTAATCCACTCACCTCAGCCTCCCAAGGCGCGGGATTACAGGCTGAGCCACTGAGCCGGGCACAAATTAACCATTTTAATTGGAAAACATCTTGTGTATCTTATTACCAAGCCAATGTCTCGACAATGAAATTTTAAGGGTCATTTGCTTGCCCAGTTTGCATACACTGGGGAAGCCACAGCTCCAAGAGAAATCTCAGTAAATGCCCTGGGCCATCAGGGTCAAGTTCTGGGAAAAGTCCGGCGGCCCCAAGCCACTATTTTCGCCTGCAGAATCAGTCCTGTGTCACTAGGGGGAGCCATTGGAGAGCACGTGGACCTTTTTCGTGGCTGTAGAGGCATGGCCACTTGCAGCCTGTGTTCTTTGCAGACATCTGCTCACTGAGTTCCCACTGCCACCTGGAAAAGTGATCTGAAGAAACCATTTTGCAGATGGGCAAGTGTACAAGCCAAGTAGCACCACACAGAAGAGGTGAAACTGGGATTTGAACCTAGGTATCTGTAGTCTGAAGACATTTCCGGCTTTCTCCGTGTGTGTGTGTGTGTGTGTGTGTGTGTGTGTGTGTGTGTGTGTGTGTGTGTGTGTAGCGGAGGGTGGGAGGGGGAGGTACTTTTCCTTAGTCAAGCCCATAGTGGCCCCTCTCTCATTTTCTAGCAGTCCTCTCCCCCGCAACCCCGTCTCCTCAAACTCCCACACACTCATCCCATGTGCCATTCTTTCCCCTCGACCCATAAGCATCCTTTCTCCAGTCCCTTCATCTCCTCCCCACCTCCCTGCCTTGTCCAGCCCTGTTCTCGCCTTCCATGGTCCCTGCATTGGCCTCCCCACTGCCCAGCCTCAGAGAGGTAGAACCACCTGCCCAAGGACACGCACAGCAAAAGAGGCACCTCTGGGATTTGGGATTCATGCACGGGTCCAGCTTGGGTCTTGCTCCTACTCCCAGGAAGGCCCGTGTCCCAGGAAGAGAGACATCGGGTGGTACACTCACCGTTCCCCTGCCCCGGTCCCCTCCACCCCCACCCACAGCCTGGGAACCAGAGGCCACCAGCACATCACCCTGTCCCTGTGGTCAGACACTAGCACAATCTGGAATTTCAGGTCTATAAATCACTCGGGTGGCAAGGAGCTCATAAAAAAACTGTTCTCCCATCCTGGTCTGCCCGCTCTGCCTCTTGTCCCCTCCTCCAGGCACCCTCCCTTCTTCCTTGGAGCCTGGCAAAAGGAGGGGCCTGGGCATATATAGGAAGCTTCTGCAGGTGGGGCTGGCCAGACAGGCTTCAGGCAGAGAAGGTGAGGAGTGAACTCGGGGACTCTGGATGTGGCAGAGGGAGGTGGGAGGGTCTGAGCCTCAGGGAGGGCCAGGGCTGAGTTCTGGCCAGTGACTGCCCCATCTGAGCCTAGGTTTCCTCTTCTGTAAAGTGGCTGACCACCAGGGTTGCGGGCACGTTGGTGCCAGCCTGGGCCCCGCAGAGCCAGAGCAGTCCCTGGCAGCCCGAGTGTGGAGTGGAGGTGAGGGTTCTGACTGGGCCCTCCCTCCCCACCCCGGCTCTCCTGGCCTCATCCCTGCTCATGTGTCCCAAGCAGGACGATGGCTTCTGCAGCAGCAGAGGCGGAGAAGGGGTCTCCAGTTGTGGCGGGGCTGCTGGTCGTGGGCAACGTCATTATTCTGGTGAGACATGCTTGGGTACCAGGAGCCAAGTGAGCGTGTGGTGGGGAGGGAGCGGTGCTGAGGGCGGGGTGGGGACTGAGGGTTCAGAACTCCCTAGAAGATCTGCGAGGCAGACTCTGGTTTCAATCCCAGCTCTGCCCCTCCCCAGCCTTGTGACCCTAGCCAGCATCTTTTCTTGCCAGTATCTCCTCTCCTTATCTGTAGACTGGGTCCTCACTGTGTGGACTGTCATCGTGTAGATTAATCCATGTATGTTCCTCAGCTCAGAAAAAGTGCTCAACAAGCCGGGCTCGGTGGCCCAGCCTGTAATCCCGCACTTTGGGAGGCTGAGGTGAGTGGATTGCCTGAGCCTGAGGGTTCGAGACCCGCCTGAGCAACTTGGCGAGACCTCATCTCTACAATAAATAAAAAACTAGCCGGATGCGGTAGCGCGCGCCTGTAGTTCCAGCTACTTGGAAGGCTGAGGCAGAAGAATCGCCGGAACCCAGCAGGTCGAGGCTGCGGTGGCCGGGAGTGACTACTGCACTCCAGTCTGGGCGACAGAGTGAGACTTGGACTCAAAAAAAAAGAAAAAGAAAAAGAAAAAGTGCTCAACAAATGCTAGCTATCATTGTCAACATCACTATGGACATAGTGACTCCCTGGCACACAGGAGGCCGTAATAATGAATAACAACAACATCTTTTAATTAATGCTGGTTTATTTTATTTATTTATTTATTTTTTTGAGTTGGAGTCTCACTCTGTCACCCAGACTGGAGTGCAGTGGCCGCTCTCGGCCACTGCAGCCTTGACCTGCTGGGCTCCGGCGATCCTTTCGCCTCAGCCTTCCAAGTAGCTGGAACTACAGGCACGTGCTACCACGCCCGGCTAATTTTTTTGATTTATTGTAGAGATGAGATCTTGCCAAGTTGTCCAGTGGGTCTCGAACCCGCGGGCTCAGGCAATTCACTCACCTCGGCCTCCCAAAGCGTAGGATTACAGGCTGAGCCACCGAGCCCGGCTTAATGCTGGTTTATTATTATTATGATGATTATTATTAGAGACAGGGAATCTCAGTATGTTGCCCAGGCTGGTCTCGAATTCCTGGACTCCAGCGAGCCTCCACTTTAGCCTCCCAAGTAGTTGGGACTACAGGTGCATGTGACTGCACCCAGCCTTTTTTTTTTTTTTTTTCTGAGTTGGAGTCTTGCTCCATGGCCACCGCAGCCTCAACCTGCTGGGCTCCGGTGATCCTTCCGCCTCAGCCTTCCAAGTAGCTGGAGCTACAGGCACACACTACCATGCCGGCTTATTTTTTGATTTATTGTAGAGACGAGGTCTCACCAAGTTGCCCAGGCTGGTCTCGAACCCCTGAGCTTAGGCAACCCTCTCGCCTCTGCCTCCCAAAGTGCTGGGGTTACAGGCATGAGCCACCGCACTCAGCCTACACTGTTGCTAAAGGTGTCCACTGTCCACTGAGATGTCTTCCTCCACCCTTGTTCCCCATGCCTCACCCCTGTGGGTAACCAGACTTTTAGTTTCTCCAATATTTATTTAAGCAGATAGAAATTTATTTATGGCCGGGCACAGTGGCTCAAGCCTATAATCCCAGTACTTTGGGAGGCCGAGGTGAGAGGATCGCCTGAGCCTGCAGGTTTAAGACCAGCCTGGGCAACATGGTGAGACCTTGTCGCTACAATAAATAAAGAAATTAGTCGGGTGTGGTAGCACAAGGCTGTAGTTCCGGATACTTGAAAGACTGAGTTGGAAGGATCACCTGAGTCCAGAAGGTCGAGGCTGTGGTGGCCGGGAGCATGCCACTGCACTCCAGCCTGGTTGACAGAGTGAGGCTCCTACTCAAAAAAAAAAAGAAAGAAAGATATTTATATGCCCATTTTCTCCCCTTTCTTGCCCAAATAGAGCTCATTCCACATTCTGCTCCAAGCCTCCCATTTTCTCCTGCTCACATAGGCTGTAGACCACTCCCCATGGGCCCCCTGAGAGCCTCTCTGTCCCTTTTCACAACTGCATAGCGCTCCATTGTGTGACATCCTGAACCCATACCTATGGGGCTGCCGGGAATGACCTTGTGAGTTTGTGATGTTCCTGCGTGTCTGGGTGTATCTGTAGGATTGATTCCTGGCCGTGGAATCACTGGGCTGGTGCGTTTGTAGTTTTCATAGCCAAGGCTATAAATTCCTCTCCTCTGGAATAACAGTGCTATCAAAGGTGGGCAGACAGCATCTCCTGTGTGCCAGGCGCATGCTCCAGGCTTTGTGTGTGGCATCTCCTTTTGTCCTCGAAGCAACTGGCAGCTGGGATGCAGAGTCAGGGGTCTGGTTGGGCCTTTCTTCCCTCCTGGCTTCTGCCCAGCCTCATCCCTGCTCATGGAGACCAGGATCTTTACCATTCTTATTACTTTCCTGAGAGGGCAGTGGAGTCTCAGAACAGGGAAGGAACTTGCTCAAGGAGACTCGTGGAGCCGGGTTGCTGACGCTGAGCAGAGCTTCCTAACCGGCAGCTCTGTCCAGCTCTCAGGCCTGGCCCTGTTTGCCGAGACGGTATGGGTGACAGCCGATCAGTACCGTGTATACCCACTGATGGGCGTCTCAGGCAAGGACGACGTCTTCGCTGGCGCCTGGATCGCCATCTTCTGCGGCTTCTCCTTCTTCGTGGTGGCCAGCTTTGGTGTGGGCGCAGCGCTCTGCCGCCGCCGGTCTATGATCCTCACGGTGAGGCCCCAAGAGGAGGGTGGGCGGGGACGGATGGACACAGAGATTGTCCTCTCAGAGTCATAATAACAAGCGACACCACGGCCACTGGTGTGAATTCCACATGGCATCACACTCAGGCCTCACAGGCATCATTTCATGTACTCCTCCCAAAGCCCGAGACGCTAGGCTCAGCTGTTATTCCCGCTTTACAAAGAAAACTAGGACACAGGGAAAGAGGGGAAGGTCTGGACAGCTGGTCGGCTCTTGAGCAGAAGGGCTGGGATTTGAACCCTAGCTAGTTGCTCCCCAGACTCTGCCCTTCTGCGCTCTGCCAAGAATAACAACAAAAATGTGAGCAGGCAGAGAGGGTGGAGTGGAGGAGATGGCAGTGGCCAGTCTGTGGTCGTTGTTGTTGAAACCAGGTGACAGGTATGCAGGGCTCACGATGCCATTTCCTCTACTTCAGTCTATGTTTGAAATTTCCCAAGAAATTAAAAAACAAAAACATGTTTTAGCACAGCTACCGCTGAATGAGTGCCCACTACATGCCAGGAGCTGTTCTAAATGGTTTCCGTGGATGCGTTAATTTATTCCTCATGACCCACCAATACATTCTATCATAACCATCATCATGATCTTATTTGACAAATTGAAACTGAGGCTCAGAGACTTGAAGTCACTTATCCAGGGTTATACAGCAAGTGCGTGGCAGAGTCAGTTTAAGCCAGTTCACTCTGGAGCCGGTTCACAGCAACAAGCCACACATCCCAAGTTCTCTCTCAAGTGCCTGACACCAGGGTGAGCAGTTTAGAAAATGAGCCCCCTCAATCCTCCCAGAAGACCTCTGAAGTTAGTGCCCTTTCAACCCATTTACCAGATGAGAAAACAAAGGTTCAAAAAAGCCAATGGCCTCTCCCGGGTGACCTGGAGATTTCAACCCGGGCCTGACTGACACGAAGCTAACTCTGTGCTTCCTCTACGGTTAAGGGTATTTTAAATTCCCAGGAGAGGCCACTTATTTGAGGAACAAATGCTTCTTGAGCAGGAAACATGTGCCAGGTCCTACACTCGACACTAGCAGAGAGCAAAACATAAACACCCTTGACCTCGGGGAGCGATGCTCTGATGACGGAGGCAATGGACAGGGAAGGGAGGTCGGGAGCTGGGGCAGGGCGAGGGAGAACTTCACAGCCTGAGAAAGCAAAGACCAGGAGAAGCTGAGGGAGTGTGCCATGCGTGTATTTGGAGGAGGACGTTCCAGGCAGGGGGAGCAGCAGAAGCAAAGACTCTGAGACCGGGGTGGGGTACGGGAGTCCAGTGTGGCTGAAGCCCCGTGAGGAGGAAGTGGGTGAGTGAGAGGAAGTGAGGCGGACAGGTGGGAAGATCAGTGGAGACACAGGGGAAAGGGAAGTGGGCTTCTGCTCAATCCTGAGTGAGAGAGAGCATGGAAGGCTCCTTTCTTCCTTCCTTCCTTCCTTTTCTTATCCTGTATTTAATTATCTGGCATAAAAAATTTTCACCCAAGGCCTAAAAGTTCACCCAACTAGTAACAAAAAAGTTGTTTATTTCTTCTATTTGTTTGCCACGAACGAAGACACATTTTTTTTTTCATGGGAAGTTTCAAAATAGACTGAAGTAGAGGAAATGGCATTTTGAGCCGTGCATACGGGTCACCTGGTTTCAACAACCTCGACCACAGACTGGCCACCAACATCTCCTCTACTCCTCCCTCTGCCAGCCCACACTTTTTCTTTCTAAGGTATTCTTTTTATTTTTTTTGAGTTGGAGTCTCACTCGGTCGCCCAGACCGGAGTGCAGTGGCCGCTGCCGGCCACCACAGCCTCAACCTGCTGGGCTCAGGTGATCCTTCTGCCTCAGCCTTCCAAGTATCAGGAACTACAGGCACACGCCACCATGCCCAGCTAATTTTTTTATTTTTTGTAGAGATGGGATCTCACCAAGGTGCCCAGGCTGGTCTCAAACCCGTGGGCTCAGGCAATCCTGTCACGTCGGCCTTCCAAAGTGCTGGGATTATTGCTCTATACTTTTTTTAAAAATTGTATTTCTAGCCAGGCTCGGTGGCTCAGCCTGTAATCTTGCGCCTTTGGGAGGCTGAGGTGAGTGGA